ACTGGGGTCTATTAGGACTGGGCCCCTAGTAACTGGGGCCCATTTGACCAGTACACCTCTGGATGCTGTTGGGTTGACTGTCGTGTTTATTCATGTGAGACTTGTTTACATAACGTTGTCATGGTGACGTGAAGCCTGACCACGCTGGAGGCTGTGACCCCTACCACTATTACTACCACCACCACCATTACTACCGCCACCACCACTAATTACCACTACCACTACTACTACCACTTAATGGCCTCCATCCCTCCCCCAATAGCCATTCCTTCGCCACCATTTTATTACCTTAAAATTAAATATCCTAATACATAAGTAGTTATCCTATCTGCGTTGAGTTAGTTGAGCCGCAGATCTATGCGGCATTCAGTGACTGTAGCCTCATAGTCAATAACTGCATCTGTTGTCGACTTTGGGGCTGATTTACTACTAGCTTAACAAACCTAACCTAATGTAACTTACCTATCTGAAGTTGGGTTAGGTTAGGTTAGGTCTTAGTATCTGATTTAGAAACATTACGTCATACTCTCTCTAACCAATCATATTGTATGGCTGACGGGCGCTCTTTAGTCGCTGGAGGGAAGGAGATGTGGTGGTGGTAGTTGTAGTAGTAGGTTAGGTTAAGTTAAGTTACGTTAAATTTAATAAGGTTAGGTTAGGTTAGATGAGGTCAGGAAGAGGGAGAAAGAGAGAGAGAGAGAGAGATATTATCAAAATCCGGAAGTGCAAATAGTAAAAGTGTACTCCAGTGTGTGTGTGTGTGTGTGTGTGTACGAAAGATGGTTCTCCAGGTAGGGTAATTAGCCTTTACCTGTGTCGTGTCAGGTAGAAATTTGTCGTATTCAACCAAAAACATGAAACTACCTCACGCAATCTCTCCCTAGCACACACACACACACACACACACACAACATCAAATCCCTCTACACACTCCACTGTTTCTCTTGATACTTTAAAACACACTTAACCACCCCCTGTGAGTGCGTGATGACAATAGCCAATCACGGTCTGTTATTAAGTTTATCACTCCCCTGTATATCTCCCTGAATTAGTCTTATTAGTGTAGGGGAATGACAGGTAGGGAAGTGGAGAGAAGTGGAGGAAGTGAGGGAAGTGAGAGAAGTGAGGAAGTGAGGGAAGTGGAGAGAAGTGGAGAGAAGGAGGGAAGTGAGGGAAGTGGGAGAAGTGAGAGAAGTGAGGGAAGTGAGAGAAGGAGGGAAGTGAGGGAAGTGAGAGAATGAGAGAATTGAGGAAGTGTGAGAAGTGAGGGAAATTAGAAGAGTGAGGGAAGTGAAGAGAAATAGGAATTATGTATAAAATTGAGAATTTTTTAGGTTTTGTGTAATATAATTTTTGTGGTAGTATGGGTGGGTATGGTGTAGGTGTGTGTGTGGGGGTAAACAAAAGTATTATAGTCACATTGTTGTTGTTATAAGTCTGTTTGATATGATTTGGCCTTCTTTTTCCCGAGTATTCGCTGCAGTTGACATCTTATCTCAGGAATTTTGTTTTTCCTGTAACTGTGTGTCTGTCTGTCTGGTTTTAAGAATTCTTCTTATCGATAAATATAAGTTGGGTTTGTTCTCTGTTGCGATCTTCATTTGTTTTTTTTGTTTTTTTTGAGGGGGTCGTGGTGGTGTTGATGTCACGATTCCTTCTAGACATACAACCAGGTCGATGTTCACTTGTTTGAAGACTATACGATATGGAGAGTTAGTCTCGTCTATTGATTCAAGGAAACCAAAGACCTATACACCCCCTCCCCCTTCAGGATATCACGCCACCTTCAGGATATCACTCCTTCATGAATAATAGTGAGAGACGCTCCTCAGGGCTCACAACACCTCCAGTAATATCTCCTGATGGTGTGGCAGAAGACCTTCACTATATCTGGGTCACCTACACAGGTCAGACGGTGTTCCAACCCATAGGACATATGGTCACACTGCTCCTTAACTCCCTCGTGACCACAAGACCATTCTCACCCCTCACACACACGAAACCTGGGTGAATATGTTTGTTGTGTCTTGTGTCCCCCCTACTGAGCCTCCTACAGGGTGTTACAGTCAGGTATTGTTTATTTCCTACGAGTATATGTGACTATAAGGTCCTCATCCTAACCTAACCTAACCTAACCCAACCCAACCTAACCCAACCTAACCTAACCCAACCCAACCTAACTCACCTAACCTTATAGTTGGGGAAAGTGACGGCGATCAAGTGCAGTACCGACCATGTTGCCTTCTTGTGTACAGATGGAATGTACACACACACACACACACACACACACACACACACACACACACACACACACACACACACACACACACACACACACAAGAGTTAATACTTCAACACACTACATTCCCTCACTCCCTCACCTTCACCCCCTCCCTCACCTCACTTGACCTCCCCCTCAGACACCGTACACCCCTCAGTCTTCCCCTCTGACAACTAGACGCTTGTGCCTCCCCTCTGCCTGGAGACCCTGATAGGTGACGTTCTCAACCTCCTGAAGTTACTGTTGAAGGAATAAATAATAATAATAATAAATAATAATAATAATAATAATAATAATAATAATAATAATAATAATAATAATAATAATAATAATAATAATAATAATAATAATAATAATAATAATAATAATAATAATAATAATAATAATAATAATAATAATAATAATAAATAATAATAAAAAAAAAAAAATAATAATAATAATAAAAAATAATAATAATAATAATAATAATAATAGTAATAATAATAATAATAATAATAATAATAATAATAATAATAATAATAATAATAATAATAATAATAATAATAATAATAATAATAATAATAATAATAATAATAAAAAATAATAAATAATAATAATAATAATAATAATAATAATAATAATAATAATAAAAAAAAAAAAAAAAAAAAAAAATAATAAAATAATAATAATAATAATAATAATAATAATAATAATAATAATAATAATAATAATAATAATAATAATAATAATAATAATAATAATAATAATAATAATAATAATAATAATAATAATAATAATAATAATAATAATAATAATAATAATAATAATAATAATAATAATAATAATAATAATAATAATAATAATAATAATAATAATAATAATAATAATAATAATAATAATAATAATAATAATAATAATAATAATAATGATAATAATAAAAATATAAAAAATTTCAAAATATAAAAATCATTTGCCCTAAAAATGAAATATAACTAAACAAATTTCTGTCTTACCTGAGGAGAAACTTTTAATTAACCTGTGATACCTGACGCTCGTTTACACCTCACTAAAAATTAATATTTGAAACATTTATGATTTTTTTTTCGAGAATAAATTCCTTCAACTTATGTGTGGATCAATAGAGTGTGTTTGTCTGATGGTCCGTCACATGGGCTCATCTTGTTCTTGTTCTTGTTCTTGTTCTTGTTCTTGTTTTTTCTTGTTCTTGTTTTTTCATCTTGTTCTTGTGATTCATCTTGTTCTTGTTCTTCTTGTTCTTGTTCTTGTTCTTGTTTTTTCATCTTGTTCTTGTTATTCATCTTGTTCTTGTTCTTCTTGTTCTTCTTGTTCATGTTCTTCTTGTTCTTGTTTTTTCATCTTGTTCTTGTTATTCATCTTGTTCTTGTTCTTCTTGTTCTTCTTGTTCTTCTTGTTCATGTTCTTCTTGTTCTTGTTCTTATTGTTCTTGTTCTTGTTCTTCTTCTCCTCTTCCTCTTTCTCACTTTCTTATTCACATCATTTCCCTACTTTTTCCACGTCCATATTTTTTCTTATTTCCCAACCTAACCTAACCTAACCTAACCTAACCTAACCTAACCTAACCTAACCTCCAGGTAAGAAATATAAGGTGTTGAATCATCAGGTGTAATAAGGTGGGAGATAATCTTCAGGTGAATCATTATATCTTCTTTCTCTGCTTAGTGATGTCATTCGTTACTCCCTGTTCTCTCACTGACACCTCCCCGACACCCTCCCCTGACACCCTCCCCTGACACCCTCCCCTGACACCCTCCCTGACACTCTCACACCTCCTGACACCCTCCCTGACACCTCCCCTGACACCTCCCCTGACACCCCCCTGACACCCTCCCTGACACCTCCTGACACCTCCTGACACCTCCTGACACCTCCTGACACCTCCTGACACCTCCTACAACCTCCCCCTGACACCCTCCCCTGACACCCTCCCCCTGACACCCTCCCCACACCCTCCCCTGACACCTCCCCTGACACTCCTCCTGACACACCTCCCTGACACCCTCCCTGACACCTCCCCTGACACCCCTGACACCCTCCCCTGACAACCTCCTGACACCTCCCCTGACACCTCCCTGACACTCTACCTCCCCTGACACCCCCACACCTCCCTGACAACCTCCCCCTGACACCTCCCCTGACACCCTCCTGACACCTCCTGACACCTCCCTGACACCTCCTGACACCTCCTGACACCTCCCCCTGACACCTCCTGACACCTCCCCTGACACACCTCATTCTGCCTCTCTATTCAGACTTACATTACCATAATCTTTTCTTGTCTTACATTTCTACTTATTTTTATCATTTGACTTTTTTCTCTTTCACTAAAAATATCTTTCTCTTGGTATCTTTATTCTTTCAAAATTATTAACTATTTTTATACTTTTTCTTATTAATTACTTTGGTGTTGTAGTTTTTACTCTAATTAATATACTAGATTAATACTGATTACATTTATTCTTCGTCTCTCTCTGTTACTCTTGTTGTTTGGTTGGTCGTGACGTCATGAATTACGTCATAGATTCTAAGACATGACTTATGGAAGTGACATGTTATTATTATTATTATTATTATTATTATTATTATTAATAGTAGTAGTAGTAGTAGTGGTTGTATTGGTAGTGTTGTATTGTAAACATAATATATGATAATGTTAGTAACCATTACCAGGTGTTAACTTGTTGTTGTTGTTTTGTTACAGGAGGGCGTGGGGTCGTGTCAGCCCAGGTGCTCCTCCCTGAGGTACTCCTGGCCAACGGCTCCACACACACCTCCCTGGGCTCCAGACCCTCCACCGGGGAGCCCACGCCCAAGAAGTCCAACTGGGAGGTCATCGAGCACTACAAGAAGTCCGGTCTGGTGGGCGCTTCCAGCTCCAGAAGTCCTACGGAGGAGGAGCCGCCGCAGGAGGAGATTGAGAGTATCCTAGAGGATGGTGGGAGGTGGTGGGACTTGTGTTCGCTGTGTCGGCGCGTGTGTCAGTCGCACCAGTTCAGGAACATCCACGTGGAGGTGTTGTACCAGCGGTACTTCCTGCGGATGAACCAGTCCAACATGGTGTCCCTGCTGGGGCTGATGATGGTGGTGGTGTGCGTCATGCTGTGCCTCACCTACGCCCTCGACATCGTCAAGTTCATGGCCCAGGCCGTCACGCTGACGGTGTTCGCCCTTCTCTACCTGGTGCTAGAAGTCCTCTGGCGAACCAAACTCAACGAGGTCTACCTCATCATCTTCTCCTACCTAGTTCTCATCTCCTTCTTCGGGCTGGAGATCTTGGTGATCCTGAGTAGTAACCCGCCCACGGCCTCCGCTGGTGTATGGGCGACTCTCTTCTTCATCTACATGACGTACACACTGCTGCCCCTCAGAGTGCCTGAGGCCACGGCGGGGGGCATCCTGCTCTCCCTCACTCACCTGGTCTGCGCCCTCACCACCAACACTCACCACTCACCCTTCCTCTGAAACAGGTCTCACCACACCCTGCCCTATATACCCATTTACTCACCCCCCGCGTGTTGGGGTAGCAGGATGAGAAAATGATCACGACAGGAAGATCAGAGCGAGAATACTGTGAGACGTAACACACACACACACACACACACACACACATCATATAAACATGCACGTCATACAGAACACAACAGATGACCTTACGTGACCCCACAGGAGGCTTAACCATCCCTCATTAATGTCACTTCAGGAAAAAATAAAAATAAAGTCGGGTTTATTCTCTCTAGAAATTATCACTCAAGGTCTTGATGATTAATTAATGTTTGATTCTTTTACCTGGTGTGGGAAGAAGAGAGAGAGAGAGAGAGAAAAAGAGAGAGAGAGAGAGAGAGAGAGAGAGAGGGCAAACAAACACATACAGAGAGACGGACAAAGGTCATACGTCAGAGGTAAAGGAAGAAGATTTTTGTACTGGTAAACTCCGCCTCTAATACCTAATAAGGGCGGAAGAACGACGAGGCATTACCTTTTGTTTCTGAAGGTGTGTGTGTGTGTGTGTGTGTGTGTGTGTGTGTTGTGTGTGTGTGTGTGTGTGTGTGTGTGTGTGTGTGTGTGTGTGTGTGTGTGTTCATCAGTATTACTCTGACACAGAACAACAACAAAGAGAGAGATTTATGTCATATCCTGTCACCTGGACTGATGGCACCTGCAGGCTATAGGTGTTCACATCCAGGGGGGTGTTTAGTTGAATATTTATACATGAACCTCCCACACACACACACACACACACACACACACACACACACACACACACACACACACACACACACACACACACACACACACACACACACATTTCTTGTGCTGGTGTGTTGAAACTCACCTGTTCTAAATATCTACCTGTGTGTTGCTCTGTGTTAGGTGGTTAGGAAGGTTAGGTTAGGTTAGATTAGGTGCTGCTCTGACCTACTCTGATATATGAGTATGAACAACACCTGTTCACACCTGTTCAGATCACTATGTATGAATGTTTGGAAGACGAAGGTGATTAGGGAGGTGAGTCTAGGTGTTAATCTCTCTCTCACAAATCATTCGTGACTCAGATCAATGAGACGAAATAGAAAAGAGAGACCCAGTGATGAAGAGTTAAGATAGGATTAGGGAAGGAGGGAGGGAAGAAGGAAGGAGGAATAGGAGAAGGAAAGACGGAAGGAAGATAAAGGATAGGAAGGATAGAGGAGGGAAGGAAGGAGGAGTAAAAGAAGGAAGGAGAGATGAAGGAAGGGAATTACTGCGCCTGAGTAATCTACAACAGATCAACAGTGGTGCCACATCTACCAGACAGGTGAGAGATGCGGTGCCAATTTCACAGATGAAAGAGAGAGAGAGAGAGAGAGAGAGAGAGAGAGAGAGAGAGAGATTAATGTTTGTGTGTATGTCTGTCAGATTCTCCAGATTAACCTCACCTCCACCTGTGCCACCATTAACACCACTACCACCATTGCCAATACTACCCCTACCACCACCACCACACACCACCAACCACCACCACCACAACCACCACCACACCACCACCCCACCACCACCCCACCACCACCAACCCCAACCCCACCAACCAACCACCACACCCAACCAACCACCACCACCACCACCAACCACCCCACCCACCAACCACCACCCCAACCACCACCAACCACCACCACCCCACCACCACCACCACCACCCCCACCACACCACCACCACCACCACACCACCACCACCACCACCACCACCACCACCACCACCCCACCACCACCACCACCACACCAACCACCAACCACCACCACACCACCACCAACTCACCATCCCCACCACCACCACCAACCACACCACCAAAATCACCACCACCACCACCCCACCAATCAACCACACCACCACCACCACCAACCCCACCAATCACCAACCCCACCACCACACAACCCCACCACCACCAATCAACCACCACCAACCAACCAACTAATCACCACCACCAACCACCAACAATCAACCACACCACCACCATCACCACCACCAACAACCACAACCCACCACCAACCCATCAACCACCACCACCACCAACCCCACCAACAACCACCAACCAATAACCACCACCACCACCAACTCCACCAATCACCAACCCCACCACCACACCAATCAACCTCACCAACAACCAACCACCATAACTACCAACCAACCACCACCACCACCACCAACCAACCCAACCAAAACCACCAACCAACCACCAACCCCCACCAACCAACCAACCATCAACCAAACCACCAACCACCAATCACCACCTCAACCAACCAACCCCACCACCAACCACCAACCAACCACCACCACACCACCAACCACCAACCAACCACACCACCAACCAACACAACCCCCACCACCAACTCACAACACTAACCACCACCAACAACCACCACACCACCACCACCAACCCCAACCAACCAACCAACCAACCACACAACCAACCAACACCTCAACCAACCAACCACCAACAAACCACTAACCACCCCAACCAACCAACCACCACCACCAACCACACCCCAACCAACCAACCACCAACCCAACCACCAACCAACCAACCACACCACCAACCAACTCACCACCACCACCAACCAACCAACCCCAACCAACCAACCAACCAAAATCAACCACCACCACCACCATCAATCAACACCAACCAACCAACCAAAACCACCAACCAACCAATCAACCCCAACCACCAACCAACCAACCAACCAACAACCCCACCAACCCCACCAACTCAACCACACACACCACCAACCAACAACACAACCAACCAACAACAACCCCCACCAACAACCACCAACCACTATCACCACCAAAAACCCCAACCAACTCAACCAACCAACCACCACCAACATCAACCACCAACCAAAACCAATCAACCACCACACCCCACCAACCAACCACCAACCACACCAACCAACCAACAACAACCCCAACCACAACAATCAACAACAACAACCCCACCAACCAACTAACCAACAAACCACACCTCACCAACCAACCACCAACCCCACCAACCAACAACCACCAACCAACCAACCCCACCAACCAACCACCACCAACCACCAATCAACCACCAAAACCACCAACCAACCACCAACCAAACCACCAACCACCACCACCACCACCAATCAACCAACCAACCAACCACCAACTCACCACCCCACCACCAACTCCCCACCACCACCAACCAACCAATACCACCACCAACCAACCATAACCACCAACCAACCACCAACCCCCACCACCACCAACCACCAACCCCAACAAACCAACACACCCCACCAACCAACCAAAACCACCAACCAACCACCAACCCCACCAATCAACCAACCACCAACCCCCACCAACCAACTAACTAACCCCACCAACCAACCAACACCAACCAACTCAACCAACCACTAACCACCAACAACTTCACCACCCACCACCAACCAATAATAACCACAACCACAACCCCACCAACCAACCAACCAACCACCATCACCACCAACCACACCAACACCAACCACCACCAACCCCACCAATCAACCCAACCACCAACCCCACCAACCACCACCACCCCACCAACCAACCACATCCACCAACCAACTAACAACCCCCACCAACCAACCACCACCCCAACCACCAACTAATCAACCCCACCCAACACCAACCAACCACCCAATCAACCAATAACCACCAACCAATCAACTCACCAATCACCAACCAACCAACCAACCAACCAACCACAAACCAACAACCAACCACCAACCCCACCAATCAACTCAACCAATCAATAATCACCAACCAATCAAAACCACCAACCACTAACTACCCCTACCACCACCACCACCACCCCACCACCACCACCACCACACACCACCACCACACCACCACCACACCACCACCACCACCACCCCCACCACCACCACCACCACCTCACCACCACCACTCACTCCCCACCAATTAACTACCACCACCACCACCCCTACCACCACCACTACCACTACCACAGTAAACCAGAGATGCACCACCTTAATCCTGACAGCTGGAGGTTGATTTATGTACCGGTAATTAAGTCTTTCTCCTGGAGGGCTTCAGATAGTGTCAGCCCTGAGTCAACAGGTTCTCTTCAGGTAGTGTCAGCCGTGTCAGCCCTGAGTTGAAGTCACTCTTCAGGTAGTGTCAGCGTGTCAGCCCTGAGTTAGTAAGTCACTCTTCAGGTAGTGTCAGCCGTGTCAGCCCTGAGTAGTAAGTCACTCTTCAGGTAGTGTCAGCCGTGTCAGCCCTGAGTCAACAGGTCTCTTCAGGTAGTGTCAGCCAGCCCTGAGTTAGTAAGTCACCAGGTAGTGTCAGCTGTCAGCCCTGAGTAGTAAGTCACTTCAGGTAGTGCAGCCGTGTCAGCCCTGAGTCAATAAGTCACTCTTCAGGTAGGTCAGCCGTGTCACCCTGAGTCAACAGGTCTCTCTTCAGGTAGTGTCAGCCGTATCAGCCCTGAGTTAGTAAGTCACTCTTCAGGTAGTGTCAGCCGTGTCAGCCCTGAGTTAGTAAGTCACTCTCAGGTAGTGTCAGCCGTGTCAGTCCTGAGTCAATAAGTCACTCTTCAGGTAGTGTCAGCCCCTGAGCAGTCACTCTTCAGGTAGTGTCAGCGTGTCAGCCCTGAGTCAATAAGTCACTCTTCAGGTAGTGTCAGCCTGTCAGCCCTGAGTCAACAGGTCTCTTCAGGTAGTGTCAGCCGTATCAGCCCTGGAGTTAGTAAGTCACTCTTCAGGTAGTGTCAGCCGTGTCAGCCCTGAGTTAGTAAGTCACTTTCAGGTAGTGTCAGCCGTGTCAGCCCTGAGTCAATAAGTCACTCTTCAGGTAGTGTCAGCCCTGAGTTAGTAAGTCACACTTCAGGATACCAATATTAAGTGCTTTCAGTCCCCTTAAGAAGTATATATTGGTAGACATAATTCAGCCATGCAACACAGACATATAC